TCTCTCTCTCTCTCTCTCTTTCCGTGACTTGAGGTGTAAACGCCTCTCTTTACCCGACATCAGAAGGGTATGTTGACTCGCACCGTTCATCAGCGATACCCAAGGACAAAGAATGGCTGAGATGCTCTTAACCTCTCCCTCCGTGATCGAATTCTTACATAATTGACGAAGTAAGCTAGAGAGTCAGCGCGTGAATAAAGAAATAAACGCACCAAGGAGGTGAATTTGAAAGAAAATTTCGATTTTAGTTTCACGCTCTTTTCGCTCTATCTATAGAGGGGACTTTAACAGGTTTGGAATACAAACAGAATCCAGTGTCTCTAATTCTGGTATGGAAAAGTTTTTTGTAGTTTTTTCCCTTTCTATATGATTACCTCTCTACCTTTTATATAACAAGTGTGTGGTCTTTGAAATGGCTCATTCATATCTCTAGCATGATTTCATAGCGTGCAGAAAAAGCTTTATTATTTTGAGCAGGAGTGTGCAAGGGACAATAATAATATTTGTTGAAAAGTTTTCGTATATGTTTCCAGCACATCTCCCTCTTTACTTCTCTTCTCACCTACTCGTACCACCCCTCGAATTCTGTATATCTCATTCATTCCTTCCAAGCCTCATTCCTCCAGAATGTTGTTGGAGACATCCTTGAGTGATCTGCCCATAGACGCGTATTAGAATAGCCAAGATTGTTCACTGTGACGTACTTCCGGTTCAGCATGGAGCATATAAGTGGGGAAGTCACGGTGATCGTAAAGATGGTTCCAGTAGAGAACGGGATAGAGGGTGCCCACGTCCCTCGTGACTCATTGGAGCAGAGGGGGATAGGACTAACGCTAACATTACAAAACGCAATCCCACATCATCGCAATCACCACCATTATTTCAATACCATCACTGCTCTCAGTTCAATGACTTACATCTATAATCCTGAAATCTCTATCTGTAACAGTTACTTAATACACTATTAGACACAATCATACGCACTTTTTGTACTAATCGGATGTCGTCAATCTCATATAAATGGGCCATGGATACCACCAAAAAAAAAAAATAATAAAGGTGGGAAAGTTTTCGCGCGCATTCGACTAAAGCTATTTACTCTTTTATTTGCGTGCGCATAGTGCGCACCAGCGCAGTGAAGACTTTATAGAGAGCAATAACAGTGCACGGCAAGATAACAAAATAAAAATTCAAGTATATGACACAACCCCGTCTACTTTTTCTCATAGCCGCTATTGTCCCTATCTTATCCTCATCATAACACTTCCATCGTGCATAAGAAACAAGACCTACTATGCAGTGTTACACCATTTCTCTCCCTATTCGCTGTATCTCGCAACTCTCGTCGTAGGACTGTGACTTTAACGTCGTCTCCATACTGCGGAGTTTTAGAAATATCTATTCCACGCACACATACACACACACACAAACACACACACACACACACACACACACACACACACACACACAT